TTCTCCTTCCTTGGCGTCCTTCTTCAGTATGTCCATGTCCTCGTCTGTTTGTCCGTGTTGGTGCTTCTGCGTCTACGCTTGGTTTTCTCTTTCTGTGTGCGAGTATAAAACGCTTCTCTGCCAGCTCCCCTATCGTGGCTAGTTCCTCCATTGTCTGAAGCTCCAGTTTGTCTTCATCGATCCCGTCCTTGTGTATTATTGGCTTGGCCAGGTGGCCAACTCACTTTGCTCCATCTTCTTGGCCCCTGTCTGTCTCCACCTGCTGTCGTAAGGCGGGTAGACTTCCGCTTTGACTAAGGGTTCTCCTGCTGACCCATCGTGGTGTTTCCAGGTTGTAGTCAAAGATCCAGCCGCGATAATCCGGCCGGTCAGCGTACCAGATACCTGGCTTCGTCACACATTCCACCAACTGTGTCGGATTGGTCGATTGCCTTCTCCCTGCTGATTGTTTGGCCGGGCAATTTGGGTCATTTCCCAAGTATCGCCCCCGGCAGCGAAAGCATGCCGAGTTGGTCTTTGTGGACACAAGACCGTTGCTCTTTGCCCGTTTTTCCTGAACAGCCATACGCCAGGAAAGACTGAGGGTTCTCCGGATGGCACGTTCAAGCTGGCGATCCTTGAGTCGTGGTTAGGGGTGAGGAAATCCGGGCCGGCTTCCAACCAGGTGACAACTGGATTGTTGGGGTACCCGGCTTCCAACCTCTTATGTGTATCATGCTATGCAGTCCTTCTGATAGGTTATCGAATTGAACCCAGATTTGCTTTGTTCTATTCTTGGTACAAGCGAATTCATTGCGCTGCTGAAATCCTTGTGTGCTAAGTCCAGTCCTGTTCAGTCTGTGCCTTTCACTCTCAGATTTATTGGGTCCTGTTATGTCGAGTTCATGTGAGCGAGAGTTGAGCCTCTCTTTTCCTACCACGAGTCCGCAACCCCTCTGCACCAGCCTATTATGCAAACATTCAATCATTCAACCATTCAAAAGTCCAATGTTCTGAGCCTTCTAACAAGCAATTGTGAGGCTTCAGGCCTCAGCGAACCTCAACAGAAAGTAGACCCGGCCCTAAGTGAACACTGTGGAAAATCCGCCATCCCTGAGTCAAAGCTGGCATGATACAGTTGCAAAGAGGCTGGACCCCAGCCTCTTCAACTAACCAGCAGACCCAGACTCTGAGTTAGTTTCAGAGGCTGGAACCCAGCCTCAAGCCCAGTTGGTCCTCAGAAACTCACACGCGGCGTCCAGGAAGTAACAAAAGGGAGGAGACCATTGCATTCCACACATTCCGAGGTACAGGCTGCAGCACTAGCTCTGTATGAGCACATAGAGGCCAGTTCAGTGCTCAATGAAGGGAGAAGGTGAGGAGCAGACAATGTGGCTGCTCCGCCCAGCAGCTGCCATGGCTGCGCTGGGACTGGAAGTGGGTTAGCACTGAGTCTGGGGTGACTGTGAGAAGGGCAAGGAGCACACTCGTGGTGGGAACAGGCTAGCTTACCTGGTGATGGCCAAGGAGCACACTCATGATGGTCAGACTCTGCAGCATTGCTAGGGGAGAGAGAGAGAGAGAGAGAGAGAGAGAGAGAGAGAGAGAGAGAGAGAGAGAGAGAGAGAGAGAGAGAGAGAGAGTAGTATAGGTGGTCACATCACAGTTATGCT